TAGGAAATTAAGTAGGAACTATTTCTGGCTGTTGGATAAACTTAAGAAAAGGGAGAGAGAAGGGTGATAGGAAATACCAAATAACAAGAGGAGGCTGAATAAGATTTAAGTTTGGCTAAGACTATTACACTTACCATGATATGAACATTACATACACACAATAAACGATAACACAAGCCCAAACATGAATCAACATTTGAGGATCGTTTACTAAAAATAATAAACAATCTAAGTAAAAATGCAGGATCAAAATAAATTACAATCAAAATTAGCATTAAAAGAAGAGTTGAACCAACGATAAACTATATTTTCTCCAAATAATAGACAGAAATGCAGTAAGATTTGAAAAAAAGAAAGCCAAAGATGCTTTGTAATAAGTAAAAACAACAATCTGCAATGAGTAGTTGTTCAAGAAGAAAACAAGAGTCAACAAATACATAACTGCATCAAAGCACAATACGATAGCAGCCGCTTGGATCAATTAATTCCTTAACACTTTCAAGTCGAGTCACCATTTTAAGATTGTTTAGCTCATAAACTAAACTACACTCCGGAAGATGGAGTATAGGCCTATAATGTAGATTGAGAGTCGCTGGCCGAGCTTTTTTATCAGGAAAGCGTTTTGGAAATGGCGATGATAGCGGAGAAGTAGAGCAATTGGTTGATGGTGAACGTTCGGGGAAAAAGGGAAGATTGGATGGAACATATGAAGGACACTTTAGAGCACGCTGTAGACGTTCTGGACAAAGGTATTCAGACTCCTTTCCTTGGTATTCTATCTAAAATTATAAGTAAAAGAATGGAAATGAGTCACGTCTTTTAAATTAACGTTAGCGTCATTATTTGCTGAAGCAAACAAGATTAAGGGTTAAAGGTACATGATAAAAATGAATGCATATAGTGATCTATTAACCAGTTTCAAAAGTCTAAGCATTACTGATTGAGCACATTACGATAGATAAATTCAGGGCAATCCTGTTTTATCTCAGTGTAATTACAGACTTGGTTTGAATCTTCGGTGTCAGAAACAAGTGATAATTGGTTTAATTACGTTAATTAAATGCTTTCGACGATAGAGCATGTTAATTGCTTATATTAAAAAGTCTCCTCCCAGAGGACCGGTGTTATGACGACCCTTAAAACTGCATTTATCTCATTGCTATGGATTTTAATGTGCTCATCCCTGCCCAGGGTCATCTCATCGATACTAAGTGCAAACACTTTCTAATTACTAATCTACATTATGAAGATAATTAGGTTCTCTAGCATGAATTTAGTAACTTTTATTAATTATTGAGTGCTGGGAAAGAGTTTCAAAAACGTATAGGTTCACCCATTCTAAATAAAAAATGGTAATGCGAAAATGTGTTGACGCTACCTTACAACATAAGCGAAAAGTAAGGTTTCATTTTTAAAAAGCGATAATGTAGATCAGAGATAAGAGTAAGTTTAGTTTAATTCATTAAATAAAGTTTGTGATCCATTACATACGATTTGGAAGTTTAAATACGGGCCGTAAAAAGCCGATGGCAGAACGGGGAATATC